AATTTTCCCCGCGCGAAATTTCAAATTGTTGAGGTTGAGTGTTTTCAACCGCTTTCACCCGCACACCAAATAGCCGATGAGGGCTCCCGTCCAACGTTTTTTGGTCTTAATCTGTGTTTGTGTAGAATATTTCCCATTTCATAACCCCCATACTTGGAAGCCACTCAGTTTTGGGCAGGCTTTGCTCGGAATCTCGGGCATAGCAGCTGTAGTTTCTTTCACGATTTCAGCAACTTTGATGTACGATTCGAGTTCCGAGAATGTGAAGTCGCACTCGGAACCCATGGCCCGTTCAATTTAGGAAGTCAACAGGCCGCCTGTAAGCTGTGAGAAGGTGTGGGATTGAGCCGTTTTAACTATAAACGCCTACCTACGGTTCCCAATCCACATCACTAACTTTTTTGTTGCTCTCTTGTTCCTTACTATCACATTTCTTCTTGTAATCTTTCTTCTCTGAGTGGAATTTGCAGTTTTTGTTTGTTTTTTATGCAATTGTTGCATTACATAGTATTTTGGTGTGCTGGAATGTGGACTTTAACTTATTTTCGAAAGTTAACCTCAGCTGTTTGAATGTTTATCAAGTTTGCTCTATGTTCTACGTCATTTATTATTTTTAGCATCCATATTATTTCTTACCATTCAAGGTATTAGTTCACCCAATGTTGGGACTGACTTTCAATACTTTGCAGATATCAATTTTTTCTCAGTAACTCGGTCTTCACACTTCTATTTTCTTTCCCTCAGCATTTCTCCTGGAATGCCTTCTTTGAATAAGAAAAGCTCCAAACTCGAATCATGGCCCATCTCTACTTTTTTGAATTTTTTCTGTTTGGTGAAAGTTGAGTGCTTTCCAGAAAATAGTCCAACTAATCACGCTCAAATGAAGTCGTTTTCCGAAAGACAGGCCCACTAATCTCCATCAGGGCATTAGAGAGACATCGAACTTCTCTTTATGGTGTTGTTAAAGAAGGAATTCTGTCAAATGATTGGCCCAATGTTATTGCAGGCCATGTGATGTGTGTGTTTTGACGCTCTTGCATGTTTTCCGTTTTCCATTCAACCATGCTTTCTGTTGCATGGGGCATCCGTCTCTAATCGATAGGGAGTGCCACCGCAGTTCTCTGCCTTATTATTGTTTATTCATTTGTTTAGAGCTATTTTTATGTAATAGCAACAGTGTTCATTGTGAGTGCGACTGAACCCATCGTATTTTCCCCGATTTTTTCTTGTTTCTTCGAATCGGTATCTAATCCCTTCCAATAATTACTTTTCATTCAAGAATGTTAGCTGAGCCAAAAGTATGTGTGGGACCAGCTGGAGTTCCCGTGCCTAACAATCCCCCACAAACCAAGGAACAGAACAGTGGCACTCGAAAGGCTCAAGTTGTCAAAATATTAGGAGAAGGTGAGTGCCTATTAACTCCAATTCCCCCAACTTTTTCTTCGAACCTTACACTTATGTTTCAAATTGAGCCCTTTTTGTGTTGTGGTTTTTTTGTGGTATTATTTCATCTTCTTCTTTGTTTACTTTTTACTCGAATGGTCACAAGAAAATCATTTTTTCCTAAGGAGCGTTTGGTGAAGTAAAACTAGTGGTTGACCCTCGGAATCCCATGTGCTGCGTGGCATTGAAGTGCATAGATTTGAGGAAGTTCCAGAACAATAGCGAAGCTTTGAATCAGTTCAAAAAAGAGGTCAGCTTATGCCTTGATTTACACTTTACACTATTGTGTTGTAATTTATCAAAAAATTCGCTTACTTGAGGTGCATGATCGAGTTCTCTGATTTTGACTTGTTTTTCTAGGCTCTTTTGCTCTTTTTTTGTCATCCTTTGATAATTTGCTGAGTAAATGCCACTTGTTTTTCTCTGCAGGCATATTTACAACGACTTCTTTCCTCGAAAGAGTGCGATAACATGATTCGCTACATTGGAATGCGCGTTGAGACGGAAGGAGGTTTAAACGAACTTCAAATATATTTGGAATATGCAGACGGTGGAGAGCTCTTTGATCAAATAGGTGAGCTTAAGCGATATTTTCTTTTACTATTGTAGTTCTAATTATTAGTGCCAGTTGAACTATTATTTTTGTGGTACTCAGCTACGGTTCTCCTCTAGTTTTGTTTCTTTGATGTATGAACAAAGACCAAAATCTCAGCTTCAACCCTCCTTATCCTTCCTTTGTGTTTTTATAGAAAGTTAAAATCTGACTTTTGTTGCATTGACAGAGCCTGACGTTGGAATGCCACCTGTAAAGGCGCAGTTCTATTTCCGTCAATTGCTCAATGGTCTAAAGCACATTCACAGCATGGGTGTAGTACATAGAGACATCAAGCCCGAAAACCTACTCCTTACCGGTCAAGGTAGGCGGTTTACAATTTTAAGCAGTACCTGTTATAATTAAACTTTCATTTCAGGTCAGAATCATTTCTGGTCAGAATTACCAAAAAAAGTTGCACAATTCTGCATTTTTCAGATGTTCTGAAAATATCAGACTTTGGCATGGCTACTGTCTTCCGACATAGTGATCGGGAGAGGATGCTGAACGCTACATGCGGTACCCTACCATACGCTTCCCCACAAGTTATAAAGGGGCTGTACAAGTAAGTTAATCTTCACGCGTTCTGCACTTTGCTTTGTGTTCCACAGATTCAGTTTCACGGTCATATTCCTTCCAATTTTAGAGCAGAACCTGTGGATATTTGGTCGTCTGGCGTAGTTCTCGTGGCCATGCTAGCTGGTGAGCTTCCCTGGGATTCAGCGTCCAGGCATGTTATTCTTTGAAACTCTTGCTTCAGCAGAAATCTTTCGCTTTTCTACCTATACGAGCATAATAGCACCGCCTAGAGACGTCTGCAGAATGTAGAAAATGTTTCTGGTCGGTGATGTTATTTGATTACGACCGAGGTCGATTAGTTCTAATACGTTTCAGAGAGTGTCCTGCTTATAATGAGTGGGTTGATGGCACTGTTGTAGTAACGGAGAATAATCCATGGAGGAAAATCGAAAACACAGCTCTATGTGAGTTGTAGTATGTAGTATTTCTTTTCACTATCTCTATTAATAACCTCTTTTTCAGCATTAATTCGTGCTATTCTAACGGAGAACGAGAACACTCGCGCTACTTTGCAGCGAATCATGGAGCATCCATGGACTAATGCGAACTTTGGTAAGTATTGTCTTCAAGAAATTCCAACTATGAGTTTAGAACTTCATATACTCGTTTTAAATATCGTCATTCAGGCGCTACTAAGGAGAGCTCAGTTAGTGTCCCAGCTATCAAAAGAAAACGGTTATCTGCCGATAGGAGCGAGTGGTTAGTTGTTCTGCCTATAATTTTTATGTATCCCTGCACTTTTTCCTGATCAAACATTCTTCAGTTTTCGTTCGTTTTAAGAGCTATATTTATTCTTCTCAGGAACGTTTATGAGCCTTCTTTTAATTAGGGCTATTTTTGAGTTTCTCCCGAGATTATGCTTTCATTTATTCTTGCCCGAAGCTAATTTTTGACTTCTACTCGCCTATGTTTCTGAGAAAGCTGGTACTCCTGTGAATCGTCATAAAATGCTCACGATAACGAATTTGCGTTCTAGTAGATCTTAGCTGTGTCATACACAAGAAGCCATTGTTTCATCTTCCGGATTAGATTTTACCCAACTTTAGCTCAGCAGCGTCTCAGCCTTCTGCAATGAAATGGTCATCTCCCGTGGTGAACGGGTACAATTCGTTCTCGCAGCCTGCTGAAGCATTGTTGCTGAGCAATAGCCAACTATCCCAGAATTTGGACATTGTGAGAACAACAATTATGACGAAATTTATTGCATGTTGCAAATGCTTCCATGATACATTTAGGACCCTATGGCAATGATGGTCCGTCGTATGACGCGATTTTGCGTCACGGTCTGTGGTGTTGAAGTGGTTTCGCGCATAAAAGATGCTTGTGTTGAACTCGGATTCCTCCCCGTAGAGAAGGCGAACAAAACGGTTAGCATGATTTACATTCACATTTGGCGACTTTTTTCACCAAGTATTTATATGTTTCTTTTCAGTTACTAATCACATATAGAGACATGTCCTTCATGGTAACGATATACGAAGTGCCGACAAAAGTGCTAGTTGACTGTAGGAGGTAGGAAGCCATTTTTTGACATTTTTGTCCATCCGCAGACCTTTTTGTGATCCTCGGTGCATTGGATGTAGGGTTTTATTGATCTTGTATGTTCGAGATGCAACCTTCAAATCAATATATGAAATGGAGGTATGGCTTTTTTTAAAGATCGCGAGGAGATGGTTTGGAGTTCAAACGTGCGTTCCTTCTGCTCAAAGCTAGCCTATCAGACATCATAAGCAAAGATGGGGAGTCATGGATGGAAAGTCGCGGTTTGACGTGCTCACAAAACGCCGAAGTAGCGAGCTGGACTAGACGAGGTGCTGTCTATTAACATGAGTGAGCCTCAAGGGCAATTCCACCGATCATACAAAAATCTTACTCAATCTGGCCTGTTGTCATAACCCGTTCCGGTGCGACGTCTAGCACTGTAATATAACGTTCACCAAATTAATTTGTACATGATACTTGTGAAAAAAAACTATTGTTCTATCTAGTTGTGCGATGCTTGCTATAACCTCTTACGTAATAATTAATAATCTTGCCTATTACCTTAGCGGAACAGGGACTAACATTGTGCTCAATTTTTTCGGACTTAGCGAAATGATCACTGAAACAAAAGTTCGCGGTTTTTTGTGGGGTGCCCAATGATCTATTCGCATGTATTTGTTTCTCGTATTAAATTTATCCTTCGTCAGTCGAAAACAGTGGAACTGTTTTATCTCATTCGGCACAATCAACTGTGCACTCATAATCACTAACGTGTCTTAGGTTTCGCTTTGAAATACGCCTCTGCCTCTCGATAATAACCACATATTTTTCTTGCAGAACTATGGATTCTGTTCATATTATCAAGCTCTAGGTTTACCATATTGCATTACTACGTTGTATTTTTAAACTCTGATCTCTTATTCCGGATTTAAAGAGCTCGTCATTGCACTTTTTGTTTAGAGTGTATGCCCAGTGAATAAAGAAGTAGAAACATATGCCTTTGATCGTTGTGTTTCTCCTTATAAACGCTGTATTATCAGCTGCCACAGTTATGGCTATCACATCAGCCATCGCGGTGAATTCGTATCCGCTTAAAATATTCCGCTGTGAAAGGTGACATCAGGTAAGGGGACTTCGCATGGCCACGGCACTCACGATCTTGGGCCCGCTGTTATCACAAATGTGATGGGTGGCTTTGATGTGATTTGTGCATATGAATTTTAAATGTCTGACATGTTTCACATTTTGAAGCCTTATCATACATAACGGAATTGCCTGGTGTTTTGGTACCTTCCAAACCGTGGGAATGAGTAATCAATAACTTGTGGGCCTGCTTCAGTAAACAGAAGCAG